TTATATATACTATAATACAACAAACTAGGTATAGAGAAAACCAGATTATATATACAAGGTCCAAACGACACATAACATTCTAAGAGTAGCAATTAAAACAGAATATAGAATACTAGCAGCCCTTCATTCCCATCGTTAACATTAAAGAAGAGAGAGAGGACAACTTGCAGGTGACCAAACTCTACATATAGACGGTATTAGACTACTGAATCCCGTAGTTACCATGATGGCCACAATGCACAGATTGGTGATCTAGACCGCCAGATTTTATCTGTTGCACTATTTCATGATGTGGCACAATTGCTTTATTCTAGGGTTGTAAATTTATAAATTGTGTCTTTTTTTTTTCTTATTATTAATGAAAATCAGGTAAGCATATTCTCCCCTCACTGGTTTACCCAAAAAAAAAAATATCACGTAGATACACAAAGGTTCTAAATCTCAAATCTGTGACATGTCTCAATTCCTCGACCAGTTAGCCGTGGAAACAATATCCTAAATGATGGCCATCTTGGAAGGAAATAGAGATCAAATTCCGTGCTTTCTAAGAAAAAACAAAAGCCCAAGCTTTGGGATTTCTTAGATAGGCTAAGGGATCCGGAAAGTTGCAAGTAGTTAAATTAGAGGAGGGGCTCAAATGCAGAACTTGAGCTCAAGTGAAGCCTCAAATTCAAGTGTGCCCCCAAGCAAAAATCTAGATTAAGCTTGAGCCCTCACACCCAAATAGGGTCAAAGGTCCGAGGGCCGAGTTGGCAATGGTGGAGAGATAGTTAAGCAAGGCCCGAGGGCACAGTTAGGCTTATGGGTATTTGCTTATAAGAGTTCTTGAGAAGCTTATCAATCTGTGCTTCTGTATCCTCTCCCTAGGGCTCAAGCCCATGATGCTCTCCGGTCCAAGGGTTCTTGAAATGCAGGGAAGAGAGATAGAGAGAGGGTATTGCTTCCATTGTTCCATAGAAAACCAAGTAGAGCACAAACTCGAGAAGATACATGCTCGAGAAAGAGTTTGGATTAGGCGAACTCTCTCCTCTCAAAAGTAAGGAGAGCGAGTGCAATGGTTGAGAGATAAGCAAGGTTATAGATCTATGCTTCAAAGAACTGAGAAAATGACATTATGCTTCACAAATCTTAGTTATGTGCTTCAAAGACATGAAATAATGGCCTTGGAGATCCGAATTGATGGCTTCACATATACATGCATCCCTAGCTGCGGGCAGGAATATTAGAGCTACTTGGGTAGGGTGAAAGGAAGTATCCTTTATTGGGCTTCACCCATATGAGAACTTAAAGGACGGCTTCAGATCTTTATACATTCCCTCTGTGGAGCAAAAATAATGAGGTCACTGGGTAGAAAGAGATTTTTCACTGTACTTCACATATATGAGAGATTTTTCACTGTGCTTCACATATATGAGAGGATGGCTTTACAAATCTGGAAGACATGCTCCCCTCTTAACTCTCACAGATCTCACACCAAAAAGCATGGAGGGTGGATCCTCTTTAACTAGGGCGTTGAAGCCAAAGAGACCTGCTTCATTGTCAGAGTGAACATGGGAACGAAATGACGAAGTTCATCTTTAGGATTTCTTTGGTTGTTTTTTTATGGAAGAGACTAAGAGCCAGGAAGGCTGCATCTCCAGACTTGGGCTTGGGCCCTGTGACCCCACTCTCTCATGTTGTTGGTTCAAATTCTGCAAGGCCTTTTCAGAAACCAGCATTATGTATAATGGAACCAGAGACTGAAATCGTTCATATTGGAGAGACTGAAATCGTTCATATTGGACATACTTTCTTCCTTTATCTGATCAGCAGTAGATTAAAGAAGACAAAACCCATAACAGCAATGGGCACTCACAATGTTATCAGATATATAGAGAGAGAGATACCACAAAGGACCCACACACTGAAGTTTGAGACCAGTGCAGTGGTAGTATATTTGTTAGAGTTTGGGACTTTTGGCGACAGTTTGAGAGTTACACTACGATGTACAAATTAATATACGATCTGAGGAAACAGAACATTTCCTTCTACCACAACACTTTCATATCCAGGGGAAGACACCATTTATTTTTTGAGACAATAAGTTACTACAAGACTGATGTACATAAACATGAAAAATTAGTTCTTCTAACCACCATCATTTTCTTCTCTCCAAAAGCATGAAAATTTTTAAGGCATGGAGTAGAACTTCACCAGTCCGTTTTCTTCTTCATATACCTTCACTAGAAACTGCATTACTCAGGCCATACCGCCGCTTGTTGCTGTCCTGATTATCTGAAACAGTGCTGTCCAAAAGCCAAGACAAAACGAAAATCAACTGCAACAAACTAGATGAACTCTGCAATGATCTAATTTCTTCTTTTTGACAAGTCTAAGGTGATAACAAATTTGCATTTATAAACTGAAAACAAACATGAACTCATTTCCATTGGCCAACAATAAATATGGGAGTTTATCATTTCAAACAGGTTATGACTCTCGAATACTTCTTTTTTCTGATAAACTAACTCATTAATATGACTGCCATTTCACTTCAAAAATACTTCATCACATCAAGCAATAATGCTTTTCTCTTCTTTATATAATTAATTTGCTATACATTAACATATTTGGATTTGGACAGATAACCTTTTGTTTGTTCTTGATAAGTAAGCTGCTTTGCAAACACAACCTCAAGGCTGCAAAGAGAAGTCCCAATTGAGACATTGGCTTGAACATAAACAAACACATTAACAACTCATTTCCTGTATTCTAAATAATTTGTTTTTTTATTTGTTTCACTGAAAAGAGAGAAAATACTAGTATTGTCATGAATATTTAAAAGTGTAGTCCAAGAAGACCCATACTTAAGAGCCTCTACCCCAATGTTCCCAACTCTGAATCTAACCCCATGTACACTTGCATATCCATTCTTCATTTAAAAGGTGAAACTTATGCCCCTCGCTTTCTCTAGGCCACAAAGAAACCTTTGGGAATTTTTTATCTATCCATGATTCCAAGATGTTTAGAACATTAACATAAATGTGTATCGGGATGTGAAATAAAGTGGCCATAATGAGGGTAACCATAGCAATAAACGGTAGATACTAGCTTTTCTGAGGAGCCAGTCTTCACCTGTTGCCATTCTACTAACAAAGCCACAAAAGCTTCTCTCAAGCTTATCTACACAACGTGGGAGGGAAGAGTAGAAGGCACCCAAGTAACCTTTAAAGCAGGGATGGTCCGTTTCACCTCATATTTCTTGCCACCACCCAAATCCTTCCACCATAGTATCTTCTACTCGTAGCCCCTTTCGGATAAAGATAAACATTATCATTATGGATGAACATATCTAACTTCAGGGCATTTGCAGTGTCTACAAGAGATCAATGCCTAGTTTCACACATCTTTTCAGTACAATGTCAACTATCCTGCCCCTCCAAATAAAACAAGACCAAATTTGACCACATTTTTCTACTAATGGCCCCCAAATCATTCTTGCAAAGGTCAAGTGCTCTTTTTCATCAAAAAAATAGGCAAAGAACATCAGGCTGTTTGGCTCAAGAGGGCTTTTACTTCTACTTAAGAATCGCAAGGCAAAACCTTACGATCTCCAAGAGGGCTTTTGGTACAATTTGGTTGAGTTACACACATCCATTACTCCTGACGTAAGTCATGAGGGTTTCAGTAAAGGCCATCCATACCACACCATTATGCCATTCAGTTCGCTTCAACCAAAGAGCTAGAAGAACTTGCCTTCCATCCAAGAGGCATAAGACAAAATCTGAAATATTTTGGCTTGAAAGGAGAGCATCTATAGCCTAAAGCAATATCCCCATGCAGACCTTGGCTAATTTTGGGCAAGGTGCTCTTGGGATGTTTAGACACCCATTATTGATCAATGTTAATCATTTTTAGTAGCAATATCCATTAAATAAAATCCAAATATGTTAAATCTCAATTGGGATTTTTCTTTGCAATTTCTGTCATTTTTAATGGCGCAAAAAAATATATAATAGTAACAAGTAAATTAGTAATACAGGTACAATCCATAATCCATACTTAATAGACCATACTCCATGCTCCATAGCTCATATCGTTTCATAATCCATATTTGTATACAATGATACAAGCAGACACATAAGATTAGATAGTAGAAACTAGAAAATAAGAAAAAGAAAATATACAGTCTAAGACTCAACACCAAGTGTCAAATGTCTTCAATCATCATCATGTCATTTGGATTCGGGTTATGACCATACTTCCAACCAGGATCACCACTTCTAGAAGAACCTGGATAAGATATTTTCATATTACAAGGCTCATTTTCTTCGTTTTTTGGTTTGACTAAATTCAAATATTGTCTGATCTCATCCCTAATAGCTTCAAGAACCTTTTTACAAGAAACAACATTCCCTTTAATTCTGGCTAGGTGTTTCCTAAATCGGTTAATACCCCCATTGGTACCTTTTTCACAAAAATTATACCTTAAATAATTTTTATCGTTTGGTTTCATATTATAACGATACTTCCAACCCGGATCACCTCTTCTAGTAGAACATGAAATAGACCTTTCCAAATGACAAGGCATTTATTCTTGTATGTGTTTTATTGAACTCATATATTGTTTAATCTCCTCTTGAATAGCTTCAAGAACATTTTTACAAGGGCAACTTTCCCCTTAATACTGGCAAGATGTTTCTTAAACCCGTTTGTGCCTCCATGCGTATCCTTCTCACAATAATTGCATCTCATGCAATATTTATCCAAAGGTTTCGAGTTATAGCAATATTTCCAACCCGGATCACCACTTCAATTGGACAACTCAAACTAATACAAGCAATCTAAAAAAATAAAATTTTTCACTAACTTTAATTGCTCGATCTCCAAACTTCCACCTCTGAGATATTTTCTAATGTCAAAATTTTCTAAAACACCCTCTAATAGGCTCTAAAGCCTCAAAAACTAAATCTCATCTCAACGGGTGATGTTCATATCGATTTCTCATCACTTTGAAAAACCCTTTGATCCTATGAAAATCATAAAAATCAAATTTTTTGAGGTTTTTCTCTCTAAAAAATGGGTTCTTCTAATGGGGTTTATGTTTCAAATGAGCCTAAAACCCACCTTTATCCCTGTTATTTTTCAAAAAGAACCCAAAAATACCCCTCAGGTGCATTCCTGCCCCTAGGTGGGGTGCCAGCCCTAGGCCCAGGGCTAGGCGCTAGGCGCCCGCCTAAGTAAGTGCCCTAGTGCCTAAGCAGCCGCCCAAGGGCAGACCGCCTATTTTGGCCGCCTAGACCTGGGCGCCCTCTGGACCCCCTAGGCGGCCGCCTAGGCGCTGGGTAGCCCGCCTTTGGAGCACTGATTTTGACCATGTTATGATGAAGTATTTCATGCTTTGATGAGGAATGTTTAACTATAACTTATATATAGGTGTACAAAAATTTCTATTGATATTAAGGGTGTTCTAGTGTCATTATGAAGGGTATTCTAGTGCCATACATTTTGTGAGGGCATTAAAGCCCTCCTAACCTTAGTTGCAATGTTATCACAACTAACGTAACTAAACATCACGATCCAAAACATTAGTTGCCAAAGACTCCAAAGAAAATGATTTTGGAAGAGTGAGCATTAAGGATACAAATTTTTGCTATGACTTACAAAAACAGAACTGGTTTCTGAAGCAGGATAACCACATGAGCACAGGGTTCCTACCAGGCCACAACTAGCCCCAAAGTTTAAAAATCTTAAGCATTGGGCTTCCTAGAAAATGGGACTGAGTTCCCAATTGCTCAAGTCCATATCCTTATTTTCTAAAGAGAACAATCAAAGCTGGACTTACAATGCTCAAGATGGAACAAGGGTTGTCAACTGAGTCATAAGGAAAATTTGGTCCTTACAAAGGGATAGAATAGCATTTCATTTTCATCATTGAAATGACTCAGTTTTCTTTATAATGCACAATCATGTATAACAAAAGAAATCACCCACTTCTGCAAAGGGAAGGGTAGAAATGTGTTCAACTCGTTATTTTGAGAATGTGTATTGTTCATGAACTTATTTTTACTGTAAGATTCAATACTATTTGCAAGTGTACAACCAAAAACATACACAAGCCACTAAATAACCAGGGGAAATGCACATTTGGTATTTCAGTAGGACTGTGTACTTTCATATGACACCAAATGCAAGGATTCATCCCTAACAGTTAGTTTTACTCAAATCATCTCACAAGAATATCCCAGTGGGTGGATTCCTAGTCATGCAGAGCAAGAGAATGGGATAGAAACTTCAGAATAGACAAAACAAAGAATATTTTGATTCAAAGATCAAATAATAGAAGTAAGGAAGATAGAACATACAAGAACCGATGACAACAAACACAAAAAAGCCAAGCACAATTGGCCCAACAGGGTAGCCATATCCCTTCTTCACGGTAGTTTCAGGAACAGACCCTCTCTTGGTGATGTTCTTTTGGAATTTTGCAACTTTTCTATCTGCAAGGCGGCGTGAGGTTGTCTGACACAACCAAGAAAGCTCAGTGACAGAAACATCAAATACAGTCCATCTTATCATCATAAATAGATTGACAAAAGAGCTACATTGCTTTATACATATGAAGATCCACAAAAGAAGCAATTATATAAAGAAGACAGTATTATTTTTCCCAGAGGACAGATGAATAGGTCCATAAGATGGATGACTAAAATATCTCACTTACATCAGCCTTCAAACTGCCTCAAAACTTCATTATTTTCAGTCATAAAACACAGAAGGAACACTTAATCACATCAAATAGAACTCAGTTAAGGTTAAAACATAGCAAAAATGGAAATTCTGAATAGAAAACTTGAGACTAGTATGAACCATCATTTGTCCACTGCCATCAAAAATCAAAAGAAAAGGTTACTTATCCAAACCAAGACTGCCCAATTGAAACAATTACATATGTATCATCCCAGAGGTTTATCCATCACATGATATGCACTGTCTAAAATGGACATCAATATGGGGTATAGGCAGTTGATACAGATAAGGGTATTTACAAATAATGGCGTACTTCCAAGGCTCTTTATAGATTGGGACACAAAGTACACATAAATGACAAAGATATGTAATTTACATTGAGGCATACACATGCACAGCACATTCAGTTCTTGGACAGGGAATCTGAGCTCTTAAAACCCTAGACCAATGGTTCACAAAACAAGGCAGCCTACACACTTAATTGGAGTGGGAATTTATTTGAAGTGCCATATGAGCTCCAAATCACTTTTTATATTGATCATTCAGGTGAACAGAGAAGACTCTGAGAATTTTGGGGTCAAAGAAATCCCCTTGGCTAGGGGGGGGGGATTGGTGGGAAGAATATTGGGAGATTGGGTGGGTAGGGAGGAGTATATAATCCTGATGGTGCAGAATGTACATTTGCTCCTTCTCGCATAACCGTAACTAGGAGCAATTTTACGTGACATACACAACCCAGCAACCAAGATTTGAAACAATAAAACCCTAGGTGTTCAGGCACTTAAAAGGATTGCACACAAACCCTCCATTTTTTTTATAGTGAGAGTGAGATCTTGGTGGTCAAGACTAAAAATCTGTTCTTTTGAAAAGTCATTTGGTGATTCTAAAGTGGGTCCCAAAAATTTTAGATCAAGGAAATCTGCTTAAGTAGGTCATTTGTTCGAGTGACTAAATGGACTTTTGCTCCCACATATGCAAAGTATATGGTAATATACATGTGTGTGTGTGTGTATGGTTTTCTTATTGTTAACACACTATAAAATCCTATAAATCATATTTAAAAAGGGATGTGAACTTTTAAAATTACCATAGTTGCCCCTATAATTATTCAATTTTCACAAAACGAATAAGGGCATTTTTGTCATTAAAAGGGTATTGTGGATATTTTTGCTAAAAGACAAGGGTAATTTTGAAGTTTTAACATTTTATAGTTGTAAAACAAAAAAAGGGGCAACTAAAGTAATTTTGGCAGTTTTATATATTTTCCCTACGAAGGCGTGCTCCTAGGCATCCCCTAGGCACTTGCCTTAAGGTTGCCTAGGCCGTCCCTCGATGTAACTTGGCCGAGCGTGGAAAAAGGCCCCCAGTCATGGGCAATTTTATCATTTTCCCCTTCAAAAGGTGAAAAGGGCTTTAAGGGGCATTTTGGCACCAAAAAACCGCTTTTTGAGTTTTAGAGAGAGAGAAACTCTTGTGGTTTCGAGATTTTTCTCAAGATAGAAACGTTTCCAAGATTTTCAATTTTGCAAGTTATTCTACCCAATACTTTTTGGAGTTTGAAGTAGTTGCAAAAGAGGCCTTTGGACAACCAAAGGTCGCCAATTCGGGGTATGAATTCGACTTTGGAAAGTTTAGTGTATCACAATATCTGAATCAGGGTTTTGCTATTTTTGTGTAAAATGGGTTATGATTTGTTTATCTCTCCTTGCTGGTTTTTATTTTTTTGTGAAGTTTTTACAAGTTTGGGTTTGGATTATTCTCCCATATTCAATAGAAGATTTTGGTTGGGGTTTTTTGAAATTTTCTTTAGATTGGGAAATCCAATCATAGGAAAAAGTCATAAATCTCCAACCAATTTGATATTATTTGTGCTTTTTATATTAGGAAACCCAATCTTAAGAGAAAGTCACTAATCTCAAACCAAATGGATATTATTTGTGCTTGAGTTATTTTAATTTCATGAATACTTAAGAATATTGTTTTGTAAATTCGTACTTATTTCTTCATTTTATGATTGCTTTCCATAATTGTTTACTGAACTTTTCTAGTTTCTTTACTTCATTTAATACTTGAAATTTCTTTTTTGTAAACATAAGTTGGGTTACTTCATTGAATACTTTCATCTTGCACATTTTTCAAGTTAATAGATTAGGTGATACGGTGAGTTGTGGGTTGTAAGTCGTTACAAATTGACAACGTCTTCATTGGTTCAAGTAAGCAAACTGGTTCGGTTTGGAAGTACAGGTATTGTCCAAATCAATTGACAAGAACAACATGGAGTGCAACTTTAGCAAAAAATCTTATAGTGTCAATATTAATAGATTAAAGAAACATTTGGCCGGCATTAGATTGGATGTTGCCCATGTACTCAAGTACCACATGAGGTACGGACAGAGATGCTAGAGCACTTACAAGGGATCAAAAACCTAAAAGAGTACGCAAAAAAAGGAGATGAAGATCTTGCGTCTAGATATATTGGAGTTTAGGAAGAAGAATAGGATGTATATGCCGGAGTTTGGAGTTTGGGTCCTCTAGTAGGCCGATGCGAACAAAGAAAAAGAGGCCTCGAACAAGGGGACAAGGTGTCTCCATATCCTAGATGGTTCTATCAAGCAGGCATTTCCTTCAATGCTGCTAAATTGAAGAGCTTCCAAACTATGTTGAAAGCAGTTGGTCAATTTAGACTAGGGTATAAGGCCCCGCTACTTACAAGCTCATGAAGTCATTGCTTAGAAAGGAGGTGGAGCTCAGAATAATTTTTTGAAGACCCACAAGGACGAATGGGGGACATATGGTTGCACACACCATTATGACTAAATCGATGGAGTGAGAAGAGAAATAGAAGTATTATGCACTTGATGGTGAATTGTCCATTAGGGCCAATGGTCTTGAGGTCCATTGATGCATCTAACAAGACTGATGATGGGAGATTCATTTGTGATTTGGTGGATTAGCATATGAAGAGGTGGGGGAAGATCATGTGGTCCAAGTAGTGTCTGCTCATTTATTGACAGACAAGAGACCGTGTGTTTTGGTTGCCTTGTGCGCCACGCTGCATAGACCTCATGCTCGAGGCAATTAGTAAGACACTAAGGAATGTAAAGACAAAAAGGAATATTGGACCAAAAGAAAGTGGGCCAAGAGGTCAGATGGGAAAGCAGTGGTTAGTATTGCTTTACACTTTTGATTTTGGAATAGGGTACAGTTTGCTAGAAGTGCTTTACGCCCATTAGTGAGAAGGAACATGCAATGGGTGACATTTATAAAGCAATGGAGGTTGCCAAGGATGAAATCAAGAGAAAATTTGGCAATAATGAAGCTAAATATGGCCTTTTTTGAAAATTACAAAAGAGAAATGGAACTCGCAGATTGAGAGGCTCCCATACTTAGCAGGGTATTACCTTAATTCTGCTTATTTCTATAATAATCATGAGATACACAATAAGACTGAGTTCATGGACATAATGAACCAATGTAATATTAATCTCAACCTTATTTTCCATATCCAAGAAAATGCGTCAATGGATTTGGAAAAGTATAGATTCTCAATGGGGTCTGTTGGAACAGACTTTGCAATAAGGCAGAGGACCAAGATCTCTCCTGGTAAGTTTAGAACTTACTCATTTTGATTTTGTGATTTGAGTATTTCCTTATACACTTACCTTATGTGTTGCATTTTTTCATTTATGTAAGGTGGACAAGCCATGGAGGAAGCACCCCACATTTGTAGCAGATGGCTGTATATAATGAATTTGACTTGTTGCTCATCTAGATGCGAGCAACTTCAGCACATTTGAAATGGCAATATTATTATACCATCGCTTCTTATGAGTTACTAGTTATTAGTTAGTTAACTAGCCTACCCCTAAACTCCATTAGTTATTAATTTTAATTGTCTACTAGGTCCATAAAAAGAAGGGAAACAGACTTGAGCAGAAGAGATTAAACGACCTTCCCTTTGTTTTGTATATAATCAAAAGTTTAAGGAGCGCTATTAGGAGTGCAATGAAAGAGAGGCTCTTGTTGTTGATAATGCAGATGATAGTAGCGACTCACTAGTTGATGCCGGGGATGAGGAGGTATTCCCTGGAGAGGGCTTGACTTAGAGTCAAGTTCATGAGGCCTTTGAAAAGCCAGTAAGCCCTGTGAAGACCACTAGATCTAAATCTCAAAGGAAGGAAAGAGGTTGATGAGATTGAGAGGAAGATGAAGTGGGGGAAGCAAACTCAGAGGAGGCAAGGTATAAAGATGAATATGTTGAGGGGGATGACTCTGATGATGATGGTATCATCATCAAATACTTTTTACAGTGATAATGAAACTCAAATATCATTTTGAGTTTATCACATGTCACATCACGCTTTGAGTCTTGATAATGTATCAGTTTATGCATTCTGAGCTCTGTTGCCAATTTAAATTTTTTTTTGTTTTTGTTTGTGTTTAATTTGTGTTGATGTTGCTAGTATCTAATGTTGGTGAAGATTAATGATGATGGAACTATGGCATCTTGGCTGTAATCACTAATGAAATGAAATGCAACTTTGTATGGATATGGGGCAAGTAAACCTCATAATGTTTTGGCATTTCAAATTCAAGTTTCAATCCAATTTCACATATAAATTTGAAATAGCAGAACATGATAACAGATAGAAGCCCTGAAAAATGATACATATAAGATTCATTTGGGAGGTTTTGGGGCCATGACTTACCCCTATGAACACCCCAAAGGGCCCACACCCCCTTAACTAGGCTTGGGCCGCCTAGGTTCGTAG